CCGCCTGTGGAGCTGGTTGACAGTTGCCATTTGTATCTATGCTTCTTTTTCTATGTCTGCTTCTGTCTCCTTGAACCCCAGTCGGCCTCAGCAGATGGCTGCTCACACTAAGCCTGGTACTGCTGGAGGTTTCTTCCTGTTCAAAGGGAGTTTTTCCTCTCCACTGTCACTACAAGCATGCTTAGTGTGAGGGATTGCTGAAGAGTCAACTATCATCCAGCTGTGACTCTTCCATCAGGTGTTTCCTCTCAATGATTTCTCTGTTGGCCACTTTCCAACCATCGGAAGAACAGTTTCTGTGCGTTGGTCTGAGGAGGCACCGATGAGCCGCTAAGGGATGTCAGAGACCCGCACCCTGTGATTATATAACTCCACCAGAGAAACACTCAGAGCATTTTGAAAGGTTTGCTAAACATAAAGCAACCGCCCCGGACAGGAATAGTGTGCAGCTCCATCTCTACGTTTATTGCATTTGCACTTTGCTTAATGTCAGATGTGTTGAAGTGTGACTTCCTTCCTCTGTTTGACTACAGGCAACGAAAGAGGAGCCTGCCCAGCCAAACAAGCCAAAGTTCCTGAGCAAGGCTGGCTGGGTGAAGAAATCTCACGGTCGACTGCTGGCGAGCTACAAGGACCGCTACGTCCAGGTGGAGAAGACGGAGATGGTGGTGTATGAGAACGAGGTACGCCTCAGCCTCTTCTTGGAATCCCGTCTGCTGCCTTCCTCATGCTGAGAAGGTTCTCTGTGTTCCAGGACCTGCAGAACTGCCTGGAGAGACTGGACCTGGAAAGCTATGACAAGTGCCATGAATTAAAGAGTCCCTTCAACAAAAAGCACAGGCTGGTTCTGATCCGATCCCCAAAGTCTGGAAATAAGGTTTGAGCAGAGAAATACCTTCATTTATTTATTAATCACACTGAATAAATAAATGACCCCTAAACATTTATGACTCTAGACATTAAACACTTATTTAAGGTGAAAAAGAAAATGTTGGTTTAACTGCAGGTTGGTTGTTGTTGATTTTTTTGGGTTGCAGTTTTTTGTCGTTAAGGTTTCCTCTCTAAGAAAAGAGAAAGTCTGATGATCTTAAAGTTTACAGACATTTACTGCTAAACACCTGCCTTCTGGACATCTGGAGGATTTCGACCATTTTAAACATTTCTGTTATAACTACTACATTTCCTCAGGTGTCATTTAAACACGCAATTTTGCGTCCGATCCGACAGAAAATCGTGCCTCAGAGGTCGTGGCGTTTAGCGCTGATTGAAAGTCAATGGGGATGATTTCCTGCAGGGGGCAGCGTAGCTCAGATTGATTTCATGGGTCTGGCAGGAAGAGAGACGCGGTTACGAAGTACAACACATCCGCTTTGGAGGAAAATCCAAAATAAAATGTGTTAATCTGACGGGGAAAGACATTAAACAATAAAATAGAAAACTTTCCCCATGATAGGATGACAGAAAACAGATAAAGCAGTGATCCTCTTTGAGCCTCACAGAAACCAGAATAAAGAGGAGCAGACAGAGCAGGTCAGAGCAGCGTATCTCTCTCACCTCTTTATGGAACAAAGAAAGAAAAACTCCGATAAACCTTCCAGATCTCTCTGGGAAACACCTCTCTGCCTCAGTCACCATAGAAACCGCCCCACGCCGTTTATTGCTGCGTTTATCTTTCTTTAGACGTAGATCTCATTATGTTTTTAATAGATAAACATTATCTATCTGTTCTGGTTCTACACAGTTAATAACAGTGTTAAATATGCAGTGTCAAAGTACATTGACTCTTTTAGAGTTATTACAACAACTGGAGTAAAATATACACCGTGTAGAGTTCTAATTTAACACTAATCCCGAGTGTGACCAAATGCACTCTTAAAGTGTTACTTTAGCACTGCAAAGTTTTCCTGTGTAGATGCTGCACAGACAGATAAGTAGAGCTTTGCTTTATAGAATGAGCCAGTGATTTTTATTTCTAAGAACTTTCCATGTGTCCAAGTCAAACATGGACATTATTTTTTATTTATAGCACAGAGACGGAGTGAAATAATTCTGCACAGATCTGCTCATCCTGTCTAGTCAGAGTCTCTCTATACGCAGTCAGTGTGACATGGAAAAAAATCGGATCAGAGATTAAAAAGTCGGACGCAGTCGGTGTGATCGCGGCTTAAAAGTGAAAAAATGACCCTGTGGAGACTCACAGTGTAGCTCTGTTCTATAAGCTGGGATTAGCTTGTGCTAATTCGAGGCTTATCAGTGATGTACTGACGTCTGTAAGGAGCTGCACCCCCGATGCACCTCCAAAGATGAGTGAACCCTGAAGGCCAGGCTGGTCCTGAAGGGTCCGGGTGCCAGCAGCTCTCTCCAGGGTAACGGCGCTCAGCTGTGAGGCTGAAAGCAGCAACACTGTGATTCTTACACGGCGGTGGGCTAATGTGTGCTAACTGAGATACAGCTGAGGTCTGTTTGTTTTCCAGATCCATGATGTGAAGCTCCAGGCTCAGACTGCGGAGGAGAAGGAGGCCTGGATCAAAGCCCTCAGCGATTGCATCAGTCGGGCAAAAAACAAAGTCTTTGATGAGGTAACGCTCTCTGCTAACATGTCTGTCTCTGCATCTGCTCCTATGCCCAAACCGACCCTTAGCATCACGCCTTCATGGCTCCGCTGTGCCCTGCTCATCCCATTGAATGCCCGGCTACTTAAACCAGTTCATTCCCAAAAAATATGTTGTCTCTTTTATTTCTTTTTCTTGTCTGTAAAAGCTTTAATTCTGACACATTTCCCATAGGTGAAGGTTGACGACAGCAGTAATTTAGAACATATTACCCGAACGAGACCTCAGGGAAATCGTAACCGACGCCCGCCAACCAGAATCCACATGAGAGAGGTAAGGATCGCTGCTCCTACTGCAAAGACGGACAGTTCTTCTGACAATATTGGTGTTTGTTCTCCAGGATTATGTAGAACCATGACAAACAGAAAGGGTTGAGAACATAAGAGCAGTTTGTGTCATAAAACATACTAAGAAATGACCAGTTATATAGCTGCTCTTCTCTTACATGTTTGGAAACTTAGAAGAATAAAAGGTCCCGAGAAACTTTGTGCTCCTGAAATGATTGACGTGTCCCTCAGTCTCCTAAATATGATCTTTCCTTCCCAAAATTCATTTTATGTCTATAGCTCAAATTCACAACACTTCGTCTCCCTAACTTTTAAATGGTAAATTGCCTGAACTTATAGCACTTTTTAAAGTCAGGAGACTTGACCAAAGAACATTACACTACCATCTATGGCAGGCCATTTTAACATTTATTAGCTTGACTGAATAAGTAATCCAGATGTCCCAAATACATTTCTTCCTAATCAAAATAAACATTTCAGATATCTGAAAAGGAATCCTTACAAGTAAAAATGACGTCACATTTCCCATTCATGTATATTGGGATTTAAATGACAGGTCCTGATCAAAAACAACACCAAGATTTTTTACTTTATCATCTGAAATCAGTTTAATCCCATCCAAATGAAGTGACTGACTAATCAGCTTCTTTTTCAGGGACTCTGGTCCAAAGACTATAACTTCTGTTTTGTCTGCATTCAGAAGCAGAAAGTTATGAGTCATCCAGATTTTTATGTCTTCAGACATGCCTGTAATCTATGTAATGGGTTAGCTTCATCTGGATTATAGACAGATATAGCTGGGTATCATCAGCATAACAGTGGAAATTAATCCCATGCTGTCTAATAATTCTACCGATTGGGAGCATATATATAAAGTAAAGAGAATTGGTCCTAGCACTGATCCCTGTGGTACTCCACAGGTAACCTGTGAGCATGAAGAAGATCTATCATTAACATGAACAAACTGAATTCGATCAGATAGATAAGATTTAAACCAGTCTAGAGCTGTTCCTTTAATTCCAACAAAATATTCAAGTCTTTCTAAAAGAATATTATGATCAACTGGATCAAATGCAGCACTGAGATCCAACAGGACGAGCACAGATACAAGTCCATTATCTGACGCCATGAGAATATCATTAGTGACTTTCACCAGAGCTGTTTCATTTATACTTTTCATCATATAATTTGTTGTGTGTATGTTCTCCCATTATTTGCTTTCCCTCTCTTAGGTAGCTGATGTGTCCTCTGATGGTATCCTGCGTTTGGATCTTGATCTTGAGGATGCAGTGATGCCGAATGGGACAAATAATGCTCAGACCGATGGTACCTCTGAAACGACGGCATGTCCAGCTGCCAGTGATGACGAGAAACAATCAGTGTCGGTTGCAGAGGAGAAGAAGGTCATCAAGCCTCCCATGCCTCCTAGCAAGGAGGCTAAATCCAGTCTTTTACCCAAGAATGAGCCTGATAAACAAGAAGAAACAGAGGTTTGTATATCTTTTCCCCACAGAAATGCCATCTATCAGAATGCCTCTGCTTGAATTAGATGGTCTATAAAAACATGTTTCCTTTTTAAAAGGCCCCGAAACCCCCGATGCCGCCATCGAAACAGTCCAAACCCTGCATCACACCAGAGGAAGAAATTTCAAATGATGAAGACACTTACGCTAAGAAAGGCACACCACCAACGCCTCCCATCAAACCCAGCTCAGCGGGCTCATTGGTTAACATTACAGAAACCTCCCCAACTCCCCACCCCCCTACACCTCCATCCAAGGACAAGAAGCCCTGCCAGCCGACACAGGGTGCAGACGGTGAAAGGAAGATGGAAGGAGACGGTGAGGTTGAACAGCCAAGACCAGCCGTGGACAACAAAGAGGTAGACCAGCTGGGAGACAGTGCCGGCGAAGGTGAACCCGAGCGCACAATCAAGGGAGAGGATTATGAGTGTGACATTCGAAAGACTAGTGATAATGAGGCAGAAAAACCAGGAGAGGCAGAGAGAGAGGAGCTGTGTGCTCAGCCTTATGATGGCTCAGGCTCTACAGCTTCTGATGATTCAGCAACTTCCCCTCAATTACTGCAGAGTTCTCCCCAAATGAATGTTGACCTAAATGAGCCCTTCACTGAGACCCTCAGCCTGAGTCCACTGCTCTGCCACTCGCTTGGAGGAAAGGAGAAGAAGACAGAAGAGAAATCTGTAGACAGCGGTCAGCACTCAGATGATGGTAGTGAGGGCTCTGCTGGTGAGGATACGCCGGAAGCTTCCATATCTGCAACCCTGGAGAGCCACGGTGGCCTAGATGAGCTCACCGCAGCAGAAGATGAAGGTCAAACCTCTGTTAACTTAAGACAGCCGGCCAAGCTTCAGCTTAGAGCAAACTTTCATCCCAGCCGGCGCTCAGAGCCTTTACAGAAACCCCTCAAACCTTCTAACAAGGCCAAGTCTGCATCGATTGGAGATCTGCTGTCCGAATCCCTGGACTGCAATCAGCAGAAAAACAGCAGCAAAGCTGAAGACGGGCGTTTAGCAGCCTCGAAAGATTATGTCACAGAGCTTGAGACCGAGGTGGCGCTGCAGATGAAGAAGACCAATGAGCTCCTGAATCAGGCTCAGGAGAGCCACGTGGAGGTCATGCCAGAGGACCTGCTGGCTAAAGCCTTGGAGAAGCTCCAGAACGCTGACCGCGTCCTCAGAGAGGTCAAGAAACTGAAAGTGGCAAAGGAGAAAAGGATGAGCTGGTAAAACCAGTCTGACCTAGTCAACTGGGAATCGCCTGCTTGGACAGTCATTCTTCAGTCATTTGATATAAACCCACCCAGGTACAGAACAGACCTACCTTTCAGATGGTGACGTTTGCCCCGTTTCCACCAGCCCTCTGAAACCGATCCATGCCGAGTTCGGACCGAGCTCGGATCAGTTAACATGCTTAGCTTGGTTCTTACGACCATTTATGCATCCCGCTAGCACAGTTCCTCCCCTCCTATCGGCGGTCCACGATACTACAGATCTCAAAGAATTATGCTAACAAACATGTTGGCTCACGTAATATTCAGGAAGTTATGTTATATTAGTGATATTTCCTCATTTGCGGAATTTCAGGCGAAGAAGGCATCCTTCTGGGTCTCACCATCATCCCAGGTCGCACCGTGCTCTTCTGATGCCATTAACAGGATGAGAAGAAGTTGGTGTTGTGAACAGGTGCAGAGATCTGTGAATCACAAAGTTGAACACGGCAGAAAACCGGCCAAAAAAACGGCTCATGCGCTCTTTGTTATCAGAGAACCGAGCCAAAGATGAACCGCGGCGAGCCCTGCTCAGAACTTAGTACCATGTTAGCGCGCTTCAGTTCAGTCCAGTACAGTTGCGTTCCATTCACACTTAACAGTTATCTCGGTTACCAAGCTCGGACCGATCTTTGCACCTTTCTAAAGGCTGGTGTAAATGGGCTAATTGTGTTTTAGAGACTAAAACTGTATTTTTAATAGAACTGAGGTCGTCTGCTTATTTTGCTGTGAAACAATGGCCGACAGTCTGCTAGAGACGGTAAACTCGTTTAGTCTAATTTGATCTGAAATAAAAACACAGTATTTTAGAAAACAAGTTTAAATTTTTTTTAAGCAGAAGTTGGTATTTTATTGAGTAAAATTTAGAAAAGCAGTGCAGGTAATGGATCAGGGTCGATGGAGTAGGACCTCTAGGAGAAGAAGCATCTTATTGTTTAACAGATAAAGCTTCCTGAGCAATTTTCTTTTATAACAGATCAACATAAAATCAGCAGAATATGATCTTTTTGCACTTATAAGGCTTCACTTTTTTGTTAAAGCTTTAGTATTAACCCAGATTTAAAGGCACACTGTGTAACTTTTGGACACAAGTGCGCTAGACCTGTAACTTTCAGGTCTAGCGCCCCTTGTACTGGAAAAACGATCAAGAAATAAGTTAAGATTTCCTAAATTAAGTATATTAACCCTTAATTTGAGTAGGTAAATAAGATAGTTTGCCAATGGAATTTGCAACACGGTAAGACAATGTAAAAATACATTGTCTCATCTTGAAATAAGACAATGCAATTGTGTTTTCTCATTGTAAATTGTCTTGTTCCGTTGGCTGACTGTTATTTCCTAGATCCAAGAACAAATTCACTTATTTTAAAAAAAAATGACTTCCAGTGTGTAGCTTTTGTTAGAAGCCCGCTAGCCTTCTCTGCCCGTATTTTGCTTCTACTAATCATGGAAAATAATAACTAAGATCTCTGACTGTATAGTAGGAGCAAAGTGTTAACCTACCAGTTAAATAATAATAATGAGAAAAGATAATCGGTTTAACATCCGGCTTCTTCTTTCAACCTGAGCCAATGAACAAACTCCTTTCCACATCAACTCTTGTTTAACCTCGTGCACAATCCTTTTCACGTTTCCTCCTTATAGCCTTGTTAGAAGGGTTAAACTTTTTCCTTCCCTCAGCCATGACCAGTAATAAAGCAGTTGGAAAAATAGAGCAAAAGCCTTAGCTCCATGACTATATAAGAGCCATCAAGCCATACGTTCCTCCTGGTCACACAACCTGGCCAATGACGGTCCGTCTTCTACCAAATTACATGGTCGGTAGTGGAAGAGGAGAGCCCAGCTCGTACAAGGCAGCCATTCAGATCTCCAATCGATGCAGTTTCCTTGATGGGTCCTTGGCTGGTTCTTGGCTGGTCCTTGGCTGGTTCTTGGCTGGTCCTTGGCTGGTTCTTGGCTGGTTCTTGACTGGTCCTTGGCTGGTCCTTGGCTGGTTCTTGACTGGTCCCATACAATTCCTTATTAAGCATCAATATTTGTACTAAAATATCCTGCCATGATTTTTGGGCATTAATATCTTAAGGGAAGCACCATCTCCTGGTCAGACCCTGTAATTCAGTGAAAGGGTGGAGTCAGAGTAAAAAAGTGTAAGAGGGGGTCACTGCAGTGGCTGGAAGTGGGCTGCTATTCGGCTGGTGTTTGACTGCAAAGGGCCATTTTGAATGGCTGCTCCTGTAGCATTGATAGGGTGAAGCGTGAAGGTGTATATCGGCCTGAGGAATCATTTAAAATAACTCATATTCATCAACTATTTATGTTACAAAGTCCGCTGTGTGCCTTTAAACACATTTCATTGCTTTAATCTGTGATTTTTTAGCATTTTTTCAGATATTTACACACCGTTTATTTGAGGCAATGTATATAAATTTAAAATGATACTGCAGCATGAGTGTTATTGATATTCTTTTTATAGCTCAGGAGTTTTTAGACTGACTGCATGAATGAAATGCCTTTTTCACATGAAGGGACCAGTTTCTAACAGTAATATATATTTTTGTATTGTATCGTTTTGTACTTTGCACAGAGCAAAGCTCACTAACCGATTTTGCAGTTAAGATTTCCACATTTCTTTTGTATTTTTAAAGATGTGCCTAACAATGTCCTTTTTTAATCAGAAATTTTTTTTTATGTACGGATATTTTCTAACAATGGATTCAGGTTTGTGCACTGATGAATAAGACTTTTGATAACGCTGAAATAAACTCATGAAAGCATTTGTGCTTCTGTCATGTTCTTCAGTACAGCGAGCTGTGCTGAGAGCGGCTTTGATTTTATGCTTCACTTTGTTTGGGTAGCACCTTACACAGCATACACTGACTGATGTGAACTAAAAAACTACAAAAACATGTTTTTGATTTCTTTAATCTATTCATTTTTTTTATGTCTTTCATTACCAACATGTGCAGAGCTGGTGAAGATTCTCTGTCATCCAGGTCATAGTCATTCCAAAAAAGTTCAATCCACTGGACTTTGTTTCCAAGTTTGAAGACATTTCTCTTCCATCCAGGAAGCTTTTTCAATTCAAAATGTCAGAAATGAGTTCCAGGATTTATCCAGCAGCCCAACAAAGCCTGGTTTTAGTTTAGAAAACATGCAAATAGAAACGGATGAACGGG